CCCCAAAACCCCAAAACCCCAAAACCCCAAAACCCCTCACTATGTCAATAGTTGAAAATTAGGATTTTAGAAACAGATACAGGATTAATGATTTAAATAAAAAAATATTTAAAGAAAATAATTCATTTACGTAAAAAATAAAGAAAATGGTAAGTCATCACAAAATCAAAAATTAGTGATTATGCTATCAAGTATAAGTTTCTAACTATTTCTGTTTATAGGCAGCCGGAAAAGGAGGTAAAGGAGGTAAAGGTGGCAAAGTAGGCCAAGGCAAATCCAAGAAAGCTTCAAAGAGCAGGTCCGTTAGAGCAGGTTTGCAAGTAAGTCTATAAATTTCCAGACAACTCTAAAAAATTTATAGTTCCCAGTTGGAAGAATCCACAGAATGCTCAAAAAGAGAGTCAGTGCTACTCAGAGAGTAGGAGCTACTGCTGCAGTTTATTCAGCTGCAATTCTTGAGTATCTCACTGCTGAGGTTCTTGAGTTGGCTGGAAATGCATCAAAGGATTTGAGAGTAAAGAGAATTACTCCAAGACATCTCCAGTTGGCCATCAGAGGAGATGAAGAGCTTGACTCACTCATCAAGGCTACAATTGCTGGTGGTGGTGTGATCCCACATATCCACAAGTCCTTGTTGACTAAGACAGGAAAGAAGTTTGACAACATCCAGAAGAAGCTGTTCTAAAGAGCGATAGAATTCAGAGGAGATCGGTGACTCAGGTTCCGTTAAGCAATTTGAATCATAAAAATTTCCATACTCAGTGTCCGTAGAAAATAAATAATTTGGCCTGGTAGATAAAAACCTAGATGATAGCAGTTAGAACAAATTACAAGAGGTAAATATAGCTATGAAATGCTAATTAGAAGTCCAAACACCAACCCATAATTCGAATAGGTCCTCATATTATGCCATAGAGTTATAGTGACTTTCTGGAGATTTTCGCCTCGAGTCCTTAAACCTGGCTATTTTTAGAACTTTTTGAGAAAAATTAGGAAACGATTTAGCCAGATTTCACTCCTACCAGAAAGTTTGTGGTGCCAATAGACTCTAAATTTAAATTCTCTTGGTTTCATTTCCATTACAAGGAGTATTTAGATTTTGCATAACTTTTGGGAGACTCTGAATTTTAAAATCCATTTTATTTTAAAGAAGAATGATCTAAACGGCTCAATATCTACAAAGAAAAGGGGTTTTGGGGTTTTGGGGTTTTGGGGTTTTGGGGTTTTGGGGTTTTGGGG